AAAAAAATATTATATTTTGTATGTGTGTGATCATCAACATGAAACTGCCCAAACAGAATCACCTGGGGGAGGGATTTGATACTTCTGATTGTTTTTTTTAAAGCAAAAACTGTGTTTAGAAGTTGGGGGAAGGAGCAAAAAAAGCAGACACCACTTCAAATATGGATGTGGTGGTAGTTCTTCGGCCTGTTATTGGCGTATGCATGGTGACTTCAGCTGTAGTCTTATGAGGAGAGAATCTGATTATTTGCAACCCATTTGCTGCCTTTCTTATGGCTGAATTATCTTCACTGCTTGGCACTCTCCATTGTGACAAGTCGAATTACAGATATATTTTTTAAAAGGTATATTACTGAGGTAATAAATGCTTGTACTAAGCATGTTGTTCTGAATATGTATGTGTAACTTCAGATTCGCTAAATGCATCTAATTACTGATTCAATTTAAGACAAAACTGAGCCCTCAGGCCTCTTATTTTTATCCCTTATTTTTCCATATGTACATTCACCAGGTATCTTCTAGCTCTGTGTGTGTTTTTCAAATGACAGTTGGTCCAACCCTTTCTCATATCTACTTCTTTTCTGTTCTGTCACTATGAATTTATATGTTTGCGTTAATCAGTTTCTTCCTGGGTAACATATGCCACATTTTTAGCCTTTTTAATCATTTCCAGTTGTTTTGTCCTTTCTTGTAGCATCAGTGAATAATTGATGGTGTACCATCAAGGGAGGAGCAGAGAAAAAGACAAAGTTAGAAATTAGAAAACTGTGTTATATCAGAAAGAAACAAAGATGGTTTATTTTGGAGAGGAAGTATCGCCATTTATATATAAGTGGCAGTAAATAAACTTATGGAATTAAATGGTGCTGCTGTTTCAGGTGCTCTTCTTTATTTTCCCATAGTACAAAAGGATGGTTGCAGGCACAAAAAGATTCTGCATTTTTCAGATCAGTGGATTGCCACTTAGCTAAGGTTGGTAAACAGTGGCTACAATGTTGGTGCACCTCCTGTTTTGTTAGTAGGGAAGGGTGGAAGATGGAGCTTCATCTGTGATATGGTTACTTGTAACATTCTCATACTGGGGAGAAAGGGGGAAAGGAGGTTTTAAGAGGGTATGCTGACCTTGAACTCATTGGGAGAGGCTTATTTCTGATGGAAAGCTGAAACCACTTTTTATCGTGTTCCATACTGGAAAGAAAAGGTATTTGCATGGAAGTTATGTGGGGTTGTTTTTGTTTTTTGTTTTTTTTTTTAAGAAAGTATCTGGTCAAATAGTCAAGGAAGGCAAAACCTGACTTAGAATTAGTTTTACACAACAGTTCCTGTCCTTCCAAAATAATACACTTTGCTGTTAGTAAGCTGAGACAGGTTATCTCCTGAGAGTGGGCTGATTTATTTGTTGGTGGTTTTTTAGGTGCAAAAAGTGTACACAGAATATGTATATGTATATTTCCAACCCAGACCAGTCTATGATTCTATGCTGCGCTTTCCTTTAAAGCTTTATATTAGTAGTACTTTACTTCCAGTGTACTAGATAACCACTGCTGGAATGCAGTGAAGGCAGTGTACTGTAAGCTGTAAGCTCCCTCTGGTGGCTATATAGTTTAAAGCTCACCTGCTGCACTTGCCTGCTCTGGACAGTTTTGAGGGTCTAAGTGCATAATGTATTGTTGTGCACAGTTAAAATAAGTAAAATAAAAATTATTGTAATTTAAAAAATTAATACAGGAATATGATGTGTCGTGTGTTTCCAGGGTGCCAGAGGTCTCCTGTAATCAGACTTCAGAGAAGTAGAAAAGTTAGAGTTCTCTTCTAGTTATTGTAAGCATAAGGGGATATTTCCTGTAAAATTTTACTTTTCTTCTTTTAAGGGTGGCTGTTGATGTCCCTGAGAGTACCCTTAAGTATTACAGAACACTGAAAATAGATATGATCTCTGTATGACAAACTGAAATATTCTTTGTTAATTCAAAATTAGCTCAAGATGAGGTAGCCATGATTTGCTGCTCTTGCTCTAGGAGTGTGACTATAAATGACCTCAGACTTCCAAAATGTTTTGCTTTGTCACACCCAAAGGATTCCTTCTAATGTGGCTGTGATTAGTGAGGCTTTATGAGACTGCAGAGCTGTGAGCTGCAAGGTCAGTGCTGCTGAGAGGGCAGCATCACTCCACTCCTTTTCTCACTGTTGCACTGGCTCTGGCACTTGTCTGACTTCTTGAAGATTAAAGTAACAAAAGAGTGTTCATTGCGTTTGTCTTCTCTTCCCCCCCCCCCCGCCTTTTTTTTTTGGGGGGGGGGTGGGCTAGTTATTAGATGGGATAAAGCAAGGAGGTGACAGGACCCTGCAGGTGAGAGCAGGAAGAGAGTGGGATCTCTCCTTTTGATAGCAGAGAGTTACTAAAATAACTCAAGAAATTTGCTTCTTAGTTCTCATGAAACTTCACTGACTAAAGCTGTGTGTCCCAGAGACTTCAGAGTATTCCCGTTATTGCACTGCAGGAGAGGCTGTAGATTAAATGCACTTTAAATGGTAATTGGCTCTGAGAAAAGCAGCATATCACTAGCTGCTATGTCCTATATAATGCTAGCACAGCCTTCTGTGCTGGCTTCTGGTGAGCCAGGCTGGGGAACTGATCCAGAAGAAAATAACCTGCCTTTGGTGGGATGCTTTTCAGTGATTGCTTCCCCAGTCTTGTTCTCTGTGCATTTGCACCAATGCTTGCCCATACAATGGGGGAAAAGTGGGGACTGCTTTTTTGTTTGGTCTGGTTTATTTGTGATAGTGCTGACTGAAGTGCATGTGAAGGTGTTCCTGTGTAGATCATTCCTGCACTTTTGATAACCTGCTCCAGCTACTCTCCTGGCATTTAGTACAGCTGCTGGCTCTGTTGCAGTGAATGTAGCTAGAGTCCACACAGAAGTACTGTCCTTCAAACTGCAGAAGGAGGTTGGGAACAGTTCCTGCTGATGGCTGGCTGCATGCAGAACTGAGATTTTATCTCGGAAGTGTCGCATGCCCAGATTTGGTGAAGCTGCTTCTTTACAAGTTTAAATTTGCTTAAAAAGTTATTAAAGTTTGGATTTCTGCATTGGGTTGGAGTTCACTGAACCTCAGTGTCCTGGAAGGACTCAGGTGCTGCCACGCAGCTTACTTCTGTCTCAGTTGTTCAGCAGTGCATAATGCCCCAAACATCTAAAAGCTTTTCTCTGCATGCATCTGCCTGCAACCTGCTGACTTAGCCCTTGAGATGCTGCTCCCAGCACGCAAAGACAGGCATGAGCTGAAAGCATGCTGCTGTCTGTGTGTGTGCACAACCTAACACAAGCTGCTGCCTGCCCACAGGGGTGTACGGGCAAACACTGTGATGTTGCCCACAGAGCTGTTAAGGGCTGTCCTGGGGAGTTCTGCCCCCAAACTAACTGTGGAGCAGAAGAGCAGATTTGTGAAGGGACAGAGCATGTATTCTGGGTCTCTTTGCAGCCACTTTCCTGTGCTACTTATTTTGTTCCCCTCACAGGCATTCATCATATCTACACAGGAAAAGTTCTGAGCATCAGAAGTTTGCTGTGCAAGGAGGAGCACAGCTGTTCAATAGGACCTTCTTGATCCAGGAATCAGCAGCCTGCTTTCCCTTGCTTCATTTATTCAGATTAGTGACTTTCAATCTGTGGTGTTATGTGCTTATATTTAAATCTTCTGCTGTCTTATTTTTTATCGCGGATGAGAGAATTAAATCAGATTTTATATGTTTTATTTACAAAACTCTTGATCTTTTTGCTGAGGCCTTTGTGCTTTTTTCCCAAAGCAGTAGGTATAAATCAAACCAGGACTGGAATTTGGAGTTTGGAGTTCAGCTGAAGTTCAGTAACCTATGCTCTCACCTTGGTCTGGTTCTGCAGCTTGTATGCAACGAGTCTATGTTTGCATGTTCCTTTCTCAAAGGCACACCAGTTTGTCTTATGCAGCTTTGTGGTATCAGTCCGCTGTCAGAATATTTTGTGCTGTGTGCTTGCTCAGATAAATCCCAAATAGCAGGAATCAGAGGATATTAGCAGCAAAAGTGGAGAGCAGTGTGGTGTTGTGAGCAGCTGATGTTTTCTGCAGGGTTTTTACCTTGGGCAGCAGAGGGAATATTGGGGTTGCCCAATGAAGCAGGGCTGTAGTGCAGGCAGTTATCTCTCATTTGAGCTCTGTAGGCAGTATCCCACCTTACAATGATCCACGTTGCTGCATAGTTTTATGCTTTACATGTGGTTTATTTTCAGGTAGAAACCACCATGGAGCTGGCTTTCAGCAGCAGTGGAGCAGCAGGTGTTAACCGGGCAGCCAAGTTGCTCATAATGCAAGGGGATGGGTATATAAAAGAATGGGCATAAGCACCTGGGGAACCACTGTAGTCATTCCCAAATGGGCTGACCCGTCTTCAGCCAGATTCCTCGCTGTCTTTAGGTTGTCAACTTTAATGTTAAACGCTAGAGGGTAGCATGTTACTGCCAATACTTTATTTTAGAACATATGCGTAGTCAGTTACTGTCATTTCCATAGTCGAGACTTTTTTTTTAATCCCTTCAATTTATTCTACAGTTCAATATTTAAAAAAAATGTAGAACAGCAGAAAAAATAGTGCTTTATTTCCACAACTGTGGGAGTGTGTAGCAGAATTTAGTGGTGTGTAAAGAGATCTTTTGAGTAGAAAAATATTTGGATTGAATTTAGGTCTTTTATCTGTCTCCAGAAGTGTTACTAGGAGCACAATACTTAGAATTATTCATTCTCTGCCTTATGTCTCAATATTGACCCTTATGTGCATGATATAAGTACACAGTGGTAATAAGAGGCCATGACCGAGAGAGAGCAGGTGATTTTACTAGGAGATACTAGGTTTTGATGTTCAACAAGGCAGATATTTTTAAGTTCATGACATTGCTCATACATTTACAACTGGGATTGGGTTTTAGTGCTTAAATAACTTATTTTTTTCCCCTTTTTTCTCTCAGGCACCACCTTCCATGGTCAATAATGAGCAACGCCAACATGCTGAGCACATATTCTTATCATTTAGAAAATCAAAATCACCATTTGCTGTTTGCAAACACATTTTGGGTAAGTTTTCATCAGGAAGTTGAACATGTACCTGTTTTTATAACTGCAATTTTGCTGCTGTTCTGTGGCCGGGAATATGAGCATCAGTTTTGATTTTGATGAGGGGTACTTTTGACAGAAGGTGAAGCCTGTTGCTGCCCTTTCTGGTTTTGTTTCTGGTAGCTTTAAAGCTATAAGGTGTGTAGCTAAGTTCCTAAACTGATTTCATAAATTCAGGTTTCCTCTGTGACTTGATTATTGTAATACTGTCTAAACTGTGGAATTCACAGGACTGCCTGTAGTGTGATCGCTTGGCTTGAAGCTTCCTGTTAAATCAGCCAACAGGGCAATTTTACACACCAGATTTTACACTGGTGCTGAAATTTTCCATGGTGGCAATTTATTAGAATGTTCTAGTAAGTTGCTGTTAACAGCCAGCTGCTGTGTTTAAAAAAAAAAAGAAAAACTTAACTTTGTCACCTGGTAGAAGCAATAGAGTATTGGTTTGAAGTTCTGTGTAATTATACCTGTGGAGGAGGGAGAGAGATGGGTATGCATCATTTTTTATCAGAAATTTCTTGGGGTTTAATGGAAATGCTGTAAGTGTGGTTGTGTTACAAGATTTAAAAGAAATGTTTTTATAGGTGGACTTATTAGAGTTTGGCAGCTAAATAATCTGGAAATTGCAGGAGCAGTAAGCTTCCAAGATTCTTAATCAGTATCACTACATGTGAGTGTTGGGGGGAAAGCAAAGGAGAACATACAGTTCATGAATATTAGGATGTCAGTATTGCAGGCCTATGACTGTGTTGTTAGATTACACTGTGATATATAGAGCAGGGTATGCTTCCTTTCCTGCACCCACTTCCCAAACGCATTTTTTTCTACAAATTAGTTTCTTCTGGTTTTAATATATTATAGCACTACTTCATCTGGTCTTGAAGTCTGGAATCACACTTTTTGCTTTATGGGTCAGCAAAATCAATGCTTTTTATTTCCACATTAATTTTTGGAGATTTTTAGGTGGGCAAAAGAGCATGCTGAGTAACTTTGTTTGCAGACCATTTTGATCTGTCATGATATGTCGCTAATCAGAAATAATGAAAGTTCATTAAATCACCACATCGTTGTCTCAGAAGAGGGAATTCAGTGTAGCATTAATAATGAATGCTACATTGCAGACAGTTTTATTTCTGAAATGTGGCTGGTTGGAGGAATCCTGTTTATAACACCTTTTGGATGTCTAGTCTAGAAATCCTTAAACTGCTCATATGCTACCACCATTGAGAAAACAGTATACTTCTGCATGGGACAAGATTTTCCTGGCAGTGCAGGCAGTTGTGACACTGAGGCCTGGAACTGAGAGACTGTTCCCAAAACTCTGTGCTTCTTGAGTGTCTATACAGCCTGGACAAAAAGAACAGCTAGTTAAGACTTGGGAATTGAGAAGGGAGAGGCAGGGATTATGAAATTAGGAACCAGGGAAGAGAAACAAGCTGCTCATGCTGAAGAATAAAAGAGTTGAAGTGTGCTAATGGGCTGTGTGCAGGTAAGGATGGGCAGGAACCAGATGGCTTTATAAAGAAATAGAGGAAAAAAAAAAAGGTCAAGACAAGAATTAGAATGTAGATAGAGGGAGATAACAAGGATCTTGGTGGTGTTCATGGAAAGAAGAGTGTATGAGCAATACAGGGAGAGCAGTGATGAGGATGAGCATAAGGAAAAGGGGAACAGCCACAACCATGCAGTTTCTTTGAAAACCTGGAGTAGAACCCCGGAAGCATGAGGCTCTATGTTCTTTTTCTTGTAAGTTTGTAGCTGTTAAATGTACTGGCAAAACTTGTCCTGCCTTTCTTCAGTAACTTCATGTAGAGGATAGTGGCACTCTGACTAATTATAAGCTTATACTGGGTGCTGGAGGCCTGCACTGTTAATGACTGCAGTTGGTAATGATTTGTTCTTGAAGGAGGAATTTCATCCTCTTCTTTTTTAATAGCATTCTCCTTTTGTGTCAGCTTTGTCTAGTTTGAAAAGCCAGAAGTTAACAACTGCCAGAATTAAAATTCCTATCCAGGAATAATTTGGCTCACTTTGTATGTGTTGGACATATGCATTAATCTTAATTAAGTGGTTAGTTAGTTTTCCAGATTTAGCTGAGTAGATTTAAAAGTGGTTTATTTTGATTTAAGGATGTTTACCTGTGGAGGGTTTAGGTTTGGAACCTGATCAAGTTACTTAAAAACATTTTAGCAAATTTGCTGCTATTTTGGGTATAGAACTTTTATATAAAGGAAATGTATATTACAAACTTGTGTGTATATAATTGGGGAAAGAAAGTTTGTTTTGTAGTCATTTAAAGCCCATCATCTCATGAGTGAGGATTTCTGAAACAAACCCAGTTTTAGCCCTGGCACATTGCCCATCATAGCTCAAACTCTACTTCTTGTTCAGGAATTTTGTTTCACCATTTCGTATTTTATGCTTTTGACATCTGGTGGATGCATCCTTTCTGAATATTCTTAAGTTTTTCTACAGAGTGTTACCTTCTTTTGCAACATCTTTTTCTATTTTCTGTAGTGCATCTATATACAAATTAATCAGATATTCGGATAAGAAGAGCTAATGATTCCTACACTGTGGTTGGGAGTTATATTTTCATTGCCTCAAGATAAATATAGGAGCTTGAGCATGATGTAGTAAACCTTAAGTGCACCAGTCTGTAAAACTTTTGCTGTGATCATAAAACGTAAATGTTTTCTTTGGATGTAAGTGTTTCTCATTATCATCTGTGAAATACACAGAATTTTATGCACTGATGGTTCCAAAGGCAAGCATGCAAATGATAGAGGTGTCTTCAGTTCTGGCATGCATGTCAAATTAATCCTATTTTAATGTATCAGGACTAAATCCATCATAATTTTTATTTTGTTCCACAGTTGGTTTAGCATTCTTATTCCTGATCTTTGGCCTAGTCTCCTTGTGCAGCCAACTTTTCTTCCCGAGTCACTGATTCATAATGTTGGACCATTTGATAATTGGGTTGATTATTTTCTCCTCTTTTGAGTTGTAAATTATTTGTGCTCTTAGCAACAAAAGTCCATTTAATAATAAAGAACGGTAAACGCCATTAATTTTTTGCTGGAAATACATACCAGCTAAATACATGTATGTTTTCTCATACCCAAGTTGCCTTTGTTTTTCTCCACAGAAACTAGTAAAGTGGACTATGTCCTTTTTCAAGCAGCTACAGCAATAATGGAAGCAGTTGTAAGAGAATGGATTCTCTTAGAAAAAACTAGCATTGAGTCACTGCGAACATTCCTTCTAACGTACGTCTTACAAAGGCCTAAGTAAGTATAGAAAATATACCTCTGAACATAAAGGATTTGCATAAAGTCTGGGTTTTCCCAAGGTAGTCTTTGGTTTCCCAGGGAAGTGGTAGAAGACCATTTCAACAATAATTTATCTTCCATTCTTAACACTCGGTTGATTTCTGTAGGGATATCAGCTTTCACTTACCAATTCATGAAAAATGTTTGAAAAAGAATTGTGTTGAAAATGTTATTGAGCACTTATATTCAGAATTATTTGCAAATATATTTTTGCAATGTGTTTGCAGCCTTCAAAAGTATGTTCGGGAGCAGATTCTATTAGCAGTAGCAGTGATAGTGAAACGGGGATCATTAGACAAATCAATCGACTGCAAAAGCATTTTCCATGAAGTCAGCCAATTGATCAGCAGTGGGAACCCCACTGTGGTAAGTATTTTGGTTTGTTGGTTTGTTTTGGCTTTGGTTTTGTTTTTGTTTTTTTTTTTCAAAATTTAAGCAGTCTGTATCAGCAGCATAAGTTACATACTTAGTGATGGTAAAGTCTTGTATGCTTCTCTTACCTAAGAATTAAAATTAGTAGTGAAGTTGATAGCTATTCAAGCAATCATTTTTGAATGTTTTGGGACTAGGAGTAGTATGTGTAGCTTTTTGGTACACAATTACACCACATTTTCTTAGGGAATAGGTTTCTCTGAGTAGCTGCTTTAAGTGCCCCTGGATTTTTGTGGTTTCTCTGGGTTTCTTTAATAAATCAGATAGTGTGATCTAGAATGGATTTTCCATTAGCTAACAGCTTTTCACACACTGTTCCCTTTCCTTCTGTATAGTACTGCACCCTCCTGTAGCTCAGCTGTTGGAACAGGCTGTGAGCAAGAGGCATGGGCCTCTGCTGTTCTCTGGGTGACGGGTAGGTGGAGGGAAAGGGGCGTGAGGAACTAAAATGTGGAATGGAAATACAAAACTTACTCTTGATTTAATGTCATACTTCTAGGGCTAAGTGTTAACTTCCATACTGAGCTCAAAGTGGAAACAAAGTGTCCAATATCTATATATGCATTTAGTGAAATTCCGTTTGCTATGCCAGGAGATAAGTTTAGAATAGGTCATAATAGAGGCATGTAACTAGAGATTAAAGAGAGGTGATTTTTCTCCTACCAAACGAAAATTGAAGTGTGTGTAGATTCCATGCTGAAACTTTAACTGAAGCTTTTTTCAAACAAAAAAAAAAAAAATAGAGGGAACCAACCCATCACACTGTTGAGTGTTTAGAGCAGCAGTTGTACAAGATGTGAGTGGCAAATGTTTAACTCTGAAAATTCCATCAAAGTGTACCAGCAGTAATGCAGCTCATGTCATGGTCCTAAAAATAGTGCATCACCTCTTGAGCACAAGTGATACCCCTCTGTGGTATGGAAATTACAGTTACACTTGTAAACTTTAATTTCACAGTTATTTAGCTTAAGGTGAACATTTTAGCCTTTTGGTTGTGTGTAACTCTTGATAGAAATGGGTATCTGTTTAGAACAATGCTGAGTTCATGTTTGTTTTTTTTTCCCCCAGGAAATATAGCCTTGTTGTTAAATGCAGTTTACAGCTAAGGTTTTAGATTTTTATGCATGCCAGTTTATATGATCTTTCCATGAAGATACAAACCTGTATCTACCTGGAGTAGATACAAACCTGGATGTTGACAGAGAAGTCCTTTTTGAACTAACTCTTGCATAGTTACATTGTATTCTGTTCAACAGTTGTATTCTGTCCATGCAGTAATACACAGGCACACTACACTGAGCAGCATACATCAACCTAAGACTGCCTGTTGTAAGTGCATCATCCCAGCCTTACTGCAGAACAGGGCGTGTTGCAGACGAGCTCTGGCTGGGTGAAGGAGTAGTATTTCACTCTCCAAGTTCCACTGACTGCCACCATACAGAGACCAATTTAGACTCAGTTTTTAATTTTCTTTTATCCACCTCCTTTCTTCACAAGTTTTAATTTCGTCATAGTTTTTTCAGAGTATTTGTGCTCAAGCTTGAAGAATGGTATTGAAAATGTCTTGAGTATACAAAGATGTTTTCTACTGTGGTACTCTAATATATCTCGGTAGCAAAAAATGACGTGTTGATGCTGAATCACCTTTTCTGTAAGGCACAGAGTATTTGTTAGTCTTTGGCAGGCAGATTATAAACATGTATGTATGAGGTTTTTAAATTATAAAATAGTTATTAATAAAAATTTTCTTGTAATCTTCTGAGACTTTAATATAAGAGAAACGGGTACTTGCACAGCTTCATGTGACACAGGTCTTCGCGTATGCAATAATAAGTGGTAATAAAATTGTGTGTTAACACAGTGTCTGCCACAACTGAGCACTAGGGGTTCAGGGCATGCCTTTTATATAAATATATAACAACTTTGAAAGGTTGTATAAAATAAGTAGTACAATGAAATATCCACTTACCTTTTCAAATATGGTTGGGTGTGTTTTGTATTTGTGTCCCTATAATGTACAGCCATGCCCATCAGGCTAGATGGAACCATGGTGCTGTGGCTGCCTTGCTGCTGTGTGAAGTCTCAGGTAAGGGTGCTTCAGGGTATGGTATGAAGCTAAAGATTCGAGATGCCACCAGGACAGTGCCATGTACATGTCACAGGTGTTTCTGCACTTCACTGGAGGCATGTTTGCATTAGTTATTTATAGAAACAGGCCTCCATCCACGTCAGGGTGGAGGCTAGGGTATGGGTGTTAGGAGAAAACAGCAGATGTTTTCCAGCCCTCTGTGCCTGACTCCTTCCAGTTTCTTAACATGTCTTCCCTGTGATGTGATGTGTACTCTTCCCTTCAGCCTTGTATACCCAAATTTCAGAAGTCTGTCATACCTGTGACTCCTGATTCTCTGCCAAGTCTCTTGGTTGGTTTTTGTATTCTTCACAGGCTTCTGCTCCATGTTCCCTCTGACCTACTGCCTACCCATTTGTATCCTCCTGCCTGAGGACTTGGCAGCTGCCAAGTAACATACGGAGTCAGCAGCAGATCACTTCATATTTAAAAATATTTAAAACTCTCGAACATGGCTCTTAGCTATCGATAATGACTTTCTACAGGAGTTTATAGTTGAGAGAAAGTCCTTTTTAAAAAAGCAAAGTAGTCTCTCACCTGCTTCCCACTTGCTTTCTGCTCTCTGCTGTCTCTGAAGCTTTCTGGCCCTTAGCTTATAAGAATAAAATAGGTATTTAATCTTTTCCAGTCCCTGCAACCCTCCACCCAGTTCCTGTCAGACATCTGTACTAGTTTTACGTGTGTTAGGCACTCCTGCTCCGTGAAATCTTCAGGACTTTTCAGTAACATCTTTTCCTGGTCAAGTCAGGAAGACTGGTGTAATGACAGCAGAGAATGTAGGTGGTACTTTTGCATGTGTCCTTTTGCAGGATTTGATGTGCTTAATACCTTAACTTCTCAAGTATTAGTTTAGAATACCTTTAGAAATGGATGTACTTTGAGGGTGGAACCTGAAGGTATGTTGAATAATGCTGTGGCAAACTGACATGGGAGCAAAACTGATGGATGAACAATTGAGAATGAAAAAAACACAGGAGATTGGGGGGTGAGGGGGGAAACAAACCCAAAACAAAAGAACACAAAGGAGATTGGAAGGAAGAGGGAGGAGAGGAATAGTGATGAGAAGAAAGCGGGCAGGAGATGAAAAAGATGGCTTTGGTATCAAACAGTCTCTTAATAGTGGAACACAGTGTACATGTTAAGGAAATAACAGGGCACTAAGGAGAGGTAATACTACAGGGATGAGAAGGATGTGTGGTTAGAGCCGGGGTTTGAACCTGGAGCACTGGATCTTGCTGCCACTTCTCTGCCATATGGAGCTTTATGGATCTCAAGGACAAAACCCTTGTCTGAGAAGGGAAAGCAAACTAGAGAGAGTCTAGTTGTCTGATCATTTATAAATGAGTTTAGGTGGTAAGCCTCTGGGAGGACAAGGATTAGCTTTGTAGTTCTTGGTTTTGTTTTTCCTGGCTCCTACTGTAACATCAGTACAAGCCATCCTGCTGCTCATGAAGGAGAGTCTGATCTCCTTCCAATAGCAATTTTAGGATCTCTTTAAAAAAAATGTTCATCTCTGGGGGACACAGCTTCTGGAAGTAGACACAGTATCATAGGTGAATCTTAAAATGCCAAATACGTATTTTCTATCAGCAATTTAAAAATTTTGGAGAACTTTGTAGGCCAAGTTCTTCTCAACTATAAATGCCTTTAATTTCTTGGTATTTGCTTTTTCATTAGAATATTTTGCATTTGCATAACTGATTTAATTTGTCTGTCATCCATGCCAGAAGGATAAGAATTCTGGCCACCAAAGTGATTGATTTCCATGAGGAGGAACTGGAACAACCATCAAATGTATTTTGTTTGAAACTGGGCTAGGATACAGGTCACACCTCTATTTCTTCTGGATTATAGGTAGGCGAATGCAGAGGGGTCCAGTTGTAGTCCTGACACTGGACTGGGAAGCAGCAAAAGCTGTGTTTTTTAAGATCTACAGTGCATATAGTAAAATGTAGTCTAGTATAAAGCTGCATACCTGAAGCCTAAATTTTTCTGTAAATGCAAGACTTGTCAGGAATTACTGGAGTTGCTCTGAGATCCTAGAAGTTCCATCTATCTTAAAATCTGTAAATCTGTTGTTCTATTTCCCAGTGTTCATGGTTCGGCTAGAGTAGAGATTCTGATGCATCAGGTTACCTGAAACTGCTGAAGAATGTGCTGTGGATGGATTTTACTCTAACAGTAGGAAATGTTAATAAGCAGAACTGTAGGCATTGATCTTCATTGAAATGTCAGTAATGGCTGCACAGATAACTACTTACAGTTATTTAGCATTTATTGTTATTTTTATTCTTTAAGAGGAATTTTACTTCTGTACCCCTGTCTAGCCGTTGCTGTCTCATATGGTAGGGTAGGATTTGGAGAGGCCGTCATGACTTTCACATTTTGACAAAAACATATATCGTTTTTCTCCCTATACCCTTAGCTGTGTCTTCTGGTCTAATAAAAATATTACCTGGTCCTATGAACCTTACTGCCTTTGAGACATGTTGAGTATAAAAACCATATGGTAAACCAGGATATTTAAGCTGTTTCCTTCATGCTGACAAGTACTCTATAAAGGCCTAAGTTAGTGTGTTAAAGATAGGTTTGGAAATCTTTGGGATCTAGAAACTACTCTAAATATGAGGTAAAACTCGCTAATAGAAGCGTAAGAGAACTTTAAAACATAAGTAATTTTTAGTAGTTTTATTAACCAGTGTGCCTTTTAAAGTTTTCTGATCCTTCTTTTGAAAGAGAGCCTACCTTACTGGAGATGTAGTACAACGAAATTACAGCTTAATATTCGAAACTGGTAGCTCCCAGT